ACTCAAAATAAGTAAGTAATCACTAGCCAAATAATCACTTACAGTATAAAATTTCTGTAAGGGAACAGAATTGGCGGAAAGCAAAAACATGATATACATATTTTTCAGATTCAAAATGAATTTTTCTTCAGCTTAATAAAAAAGTGATTTATAAAGTTACGCGTATAAATATAAAAATTATATATAATAATACCATCACTCCCTTACCGAGAAAGATATAAAACAAAAAGTAATCTAACTTTTGTAAGCAAAATCATTGCTATTCTATTTATATAACGAAAACGATAAAAATGACGATTAACATGAATCATCCGTTGTTAAACTCTAATCTAATGAAGAAAGTTTAATAAAACGTGCCATTACTTTATATAACCCGCTGCATCTGATAAGATAATTTATCAATTATCGCTTTCATCATCAATCCCTTATCATTCCTGCTTACGTGCAAGCGACTTATCGGGGAATCTACATAAGTATATAAAGTAGATGGAATGAACATTTGCGTCGAAATTTCGTCTCTTATCCGTTATTAAAGATACAACAAAATGACATTCACAAAATTATTTGTGTTGACGGTGGTAATCTGCATTAATCTGCAGGAAATTTCTGGGCACGGGATGATGTTTGACCCTATAAACAGAAGTAGTGCATGGAGGAAAGGTTTCCCTGTAGAACCAAACTACACTGACAATGAACACTTCTGCGGAGGATACGGTGTATGTATAGAAGACTATAAAACCGATTGCGAAATTTTGTAAAAATAATGTTCCTTGATCTTAATTGATATTTTCTTAATTGTTAGTAAAATTTACTAAAATATATCAATAGTTCGCGCTATTTTAATGTTAAAATTAACAGTAAAATGTAATAGATTTAAGTAAATAAAAAGTTTAAAAGCAAAAAAATTTTTTACTCAAAGAGAAGAACTATATTTTATCCTATAAATATAAGTTTGATTATCAATCATCAATTAATTGATCAATTCAATCAGCATAATTGCTTGCAGCAAAATTTTTAACTATGTGTATAATTCGTTGTCCATAATCCTTTCTTTTCATATATCTATCAAACAATAAAAAATTAATAATTCTATCTATGTTAACAAAATTCTGTAACCTTATTGCTATAATATAATCTTGTTTAACAAATATTACTAAACACATCTTATAAAATAAATTATATATATATATATATATATAACAAATAATGGTTTTTTATAATAATATAAATAACTTGATTAGAAGAAAGAAGAGACGAGAAATTCTCAATTGACTATATTAAAAAAGAATAAATACTTTCCTACCAGATTCATCACGGTAAAAATGGCGGTAAGTGCGGAGAATGCGGCGACGATTATTCTTTACCCCGGCCACGGCCAAATGAAAATGGCGGCATCTATGGAACAGGTGTCATCGTTCAAAAGTGAGTAAATCGTACACAGTGATACCGTTCTAACAAATCAAATTTATAATTAAAACGCTGTAAAATTTTTATTTAGTACATTCTTTAATTTATCTTCCAATTCTAACACGTTATTCAGTCAAAATCAAATATAATTCTGTGATTCAGTTTCATGGATTATCTCAACCCCTAAACGTGTAATAACATCGATAGCCAGACTCTATTAAGATTGGAGTACTCTTTTTGTGTATGTTAGATTATACTGTTACATTGAATTACGTTATATAAAAGAGGATATATATATCATTTTACGTAGATACAAGGCAGGTTCCACCATCGATGTGACCGTTCGCCTCACCGCCAGCCATCTGGGTCACTTTGAATTCCACCTTTGCCCGCTAAAATCAGAAAAGGAATTAGAAACCGATGTGTGCTTCAATAAGTATCCCTTACCATTGGCTAATGGTAGCGGCTATAAATACCCCATTAAAATCCACGGCTCTAGGGATCACTCTCTCAAGCTGGTTCTACCAAAAGGTGTCACGTGTAAACAATGCGTAATCAGGTAGGGATTGAGAACAAAATCTCGTTTGATTTCAACGTTGTTAAGTCTGGATCTCAAGCAAAATATTAACGCTTAATTACTCTTAATTATAAAAACAATATGTCTAATTTTAAAAATTAAAGATGTAAAAAAACATCGATGAAAAATTTAGTGAGAAAGAATTAATTAAATAATAGGTATATAACTGAAATAATATAAAGATTGGTTCTTTTTTTAGGTGGCATTACCGCACCGGAAATACCTGGGGCACTTGTGAGGACGGAACAAAAGGCATGGGCTGTGGCCCCCAGGAAACGTTCAGAAGCTGTGCTGATGTCACTATTACGAATTAGCTTATCACGGACCTCAGATCGAATTTATTAGCTTTATGTCATCTCGAAAGTATTGGGTTCATGCCAAAAAAATTGTACAAAACTAAATTTTCTTAAAGAATTGTTGAAGAAATCTCTAATCTAATCAGGATCTTGACTGAATAAATAGCAGAGAAAGTAACGTATTTGAATACGAATAAAAGAGAATGAAGATTTCGTGTCCTTTGCCCTTAAAAATCAATTTCAGAAAGACAAATTTTCAAGTTCTTTACATCTACATGAAATGTTTATCGCCATGTACTTCCGCATTGCGAAGACAGCAAGCAACATAATTCTTAAAGGCTTTATCTAAAATACAAAACTCAAATATTGTTCTTAATATGTATTGTTTATTCAGATAAATTGAAAACAGATTTTTAACACATTTTAACTTGAAAAAAATTATAATCTTTCAATAAAGACTGGTTCAAGCGATATTACACTATTCCAACCTGATATAAAGCTACGTTTTAGTAATATAATCGTTTTAAGTAATCCGAATAGTTTAAAAGCAAAATGTATAAAATTCACAAAAAGTTAAGCATAAGATTTCACCCTATGACCGAAAATTTATTTAGTCTAAATTGTATGTTATACGCGTCCCAGGAGTTGTGTAATAAAATGCAATACGACATGTGTACTCATATTAATCATTGTTTTTCATTTTCGTGGATTTATACTATTTAAAATTATATTAGTGTTGACGAAACTTACTAAACATTTTAAATTTAAAATCAATTTATAATAAAAATCCAACTTTCTTCTATAAAAATTTGTATTAAACATCGATTCAATTCAATAATTAAAATCAAAGGAAATAAAATGGAGCTAATGAACGGTGCTAATTCTTAGACGTAATTTTTATTTAATTATTACTTATTTATTTCTATTTATGCTATTATTGTTGCTCATTGTTTTCTAATTTCTGATTTCTAAATACGGTGCAACATTTTTGAAAATGTCTTTAGAAAATGTATCTGGCGTACGAAGGCTGATGCATTTATATGGCGCCTAGTGCAAGTGTCTACGACCTGTAGCAAGGCTAACGCGGCCGTACCCGTACCCGGGCTCACGGGTAGAAGGTAGAACTGGTGGAAGACGCACACGAAGAAGAGGTAGGCCAATGCGAGGCTCGTCGGCGGTGGCGAATCCCGTTCACCGCGGTACTGCCTGCACTACAGCTCCGGCCTCGGCACGGATCGCCAACGAAACGAGAGAGAGCGGCCAGTCGATCGGTCACCGTGCACGCGTGCTTTCAGCGGTGTCCCCGGACTCCCCGGCAGTGTTTCGAGAACTGCGAACTCTACAAATTCCTACTCTTTCTCTCTTTCTTTCTCTGCCTCTCTTTCCCTCTCTCGCTCCCTCTCTATCCCTCAGTCCCCTTCACATACATACGCACATACGAAGTGGACCGTTCTCTCTTTCTCTCTCTCTTTCTCTCCACGCCATCCAAGTCTCTGAAACTCGTTTCAGTCAGCCACGGACTGCCCGTTGTTCCCGCGTTGTTGGTTCACGCGCGTTGCTGGTCGCGGGCAGCAGCCTCACCGCGCAGGAGAACGCGGACTTGGATTTTCCCTTCCTGATCCCCGTTTCCGGTCTTTTCGCCGACGAAATTAGTGGGGTGCGTGTGAACGAGCGAGTGTTTACGTGTATATACGTCTGTGCAGAAGAATGCGGTAGGATGCGTATCCAGGAAAGATGTTTCCTGCTGGGTCTCTGCCTCTTAGGCGGGGTCGCCTTTTCCCTGACAGCCAATGCTGAAACACCAGTTACCACGACACCCGGTAAGCTTCCTTCGGGAATAAGCTCCTATAAAAAATACCTTGTATTACATATTACTAAAAAAAAAAAAAATCGCGATGATAGGCGACAAGAAATTATAATATGAGAAAATATTTGAAAAAAAAAACCACATTCCGTAAGCAAAAAGTTATCCAAAAGTACACCAATTATCTATAATATCTATGTTAAGGAAATGATTACTGATACCGAAGAAAAGATTATTGAAATTGTTGGTAACAATATTAATGAAGAATGTCCTTTGTATAAAAATCTTAAAAAAAAATATCTTCCTTGTTTTTATCATTATCATTCACATAAACCGTAAGAAAACAACTTTGAAAAATTATACGTGGTAAAAATTTAGGAGATTTCTTTGAAAATATGTTCCTTTAGATTTTGTCTTACATTGTCTTTCAAATACTTGCGTTACGTGAGTGAAGATGTAAATACTGATAACGAGAGAAAGGGAAGTTTTATAAATTTCCTTACATTTTTTCCTTCTTAATTTTAAACGAGACATTTATCCGAGATGCGTTTTATATCATTTGCGTAATAATATAACGCGCGGGTTCATTAAAGCGGTGAATGAAACGCGTAGGATTGCGTGACGCAGCCAAAGACTTTAACGACCGCGCAAGAGAGGCGCCCGGATTTCCCAGGCTCTCTTGCGGCATTCGCGTCACATCTCACATCGGGCTGAATTAAAGAAAATCAATTCTAGGATATCTTCGCGGTTTTTCTGAGAATGACTCGCAATAGCGAAACAGTCTCCTTCGCGAGACATTCATTCGTATTTATATCAGTCACTCAATTAATAAGATGTAATTTCATACTATCTTATTAAGGTTAATTAACGATAATTTCAACTTTCTGTTAATCGATATATATTTTATTAAAAATATATAAAACAAATATTGAACGGCTTATTAACGTCCGCTTGACAAATACCGAATCAGATATTAATCAGATTCTTTCTTCTCCTTTGGTTGCAGAGTGACAAAAGAAAACATGCGTGCCATAAAATAACTGATAAATAAATTAATCAAATACATGCAATAAGCAAAAGAAGTATTATATCACGGAAAGAACGGTTTTGCTAAATAGTATTTAAAAATTTAGCTAGATACAGATCTGAAAATAATTTTCTTTGATCATCAAAATTTTAAAACTTATTATATTATTTTCGAAATTTATATACTATAATATGGTCAAGTTTTTTTAATCCACACTTTTAAATTTTGTGATATTGCAGAATCTTTTTTCAACAAAAGAAGGAGTATTTGCGGCAGATGTAGCTTTAAAATCAAATGTTTTTGTTTACTTTCAAACATTGGGCATTACTTCAACTAATATATAATAGTTATAATTATACTAATTAATTTAATAATTCGGAAATTATGTAGACAAAGATACGCAACGTTAAAAAAATTAATTAAGTGTAATAAAGCTGTTGACATTTTTTGCTATGTAGAGGTCTACAAATTGACTAAATGGAGAGTGGTTAAAAAGATGGGTTAACCGTAGAAAGGAGATCGCCGCCTACTTACGGCGTCCTTATAAAGTAGAATCTGTTAGTCGAACACGTCAGGTGTATCTTCGTGATGAATACCGCATTCGTGCGGACCGGTTGAACCGTTACAATTCACCGTTCCTAGTACGATAAATGTTACCGAATATTCCACTCGAAAATGTAATTAGATACATATTTGGCTATTAGCTATAATTAGCAATACAATTGTACGAGCTCTCGTACGCGTCACTCAATAACACTTACCAGTTCTGCGAGATATTTACTCGCAGTATAAATATTATCACATATGCATTTATTCTTTCAATATGCAATCAGAACTTTTGTATATATACAGTACATTATAAATCAAATTTGAGGAAATTAAACCAAGTACTTAATTATATATTTTTTATTTTATTTAATTTAAGTTTTAAATCGAATTTACTATGTTAGTTTTTAATTTAATGTATAATAATTCTGAAATTTTTTTAATGAAAATTTAATTCTTATAAGTAATTAAAGTATATATGTAAATTTTATTTAATTTCCTCCTTTCGAACTTTTACATTCAAGTCGCACGTGCACTTTCTCTGGTGCAGCCTGCAGGACTAGACACGAAAAGTCTCTGAAAAGAAACGGTAGCGAATAGGAAAAGTCGCCGACTCGCCTTAGTCACGCTCGCGTTTCCATGTATAATACGATCGTATAACTTACACATTATATTATGCGGTAATGTAACGGGCGGATTAAGTCACGTGCTCGAATGCAATTTCCAGTGCATTTATTGTATACGTACATACATATATATACTGCTGCGCCCCGTCATTAAATCCTCGTTCCTTTTGCAACACGGCGCTAGACAAATTACACACCTATGGTTTAACGCCCCAAACGTAGTTATTAAAATTATTTCCTGTAACATAAGTAAAACTGTATAATAAAATAAGTGTTATATATAAATGTGATAAATGTGTAAGTAGTAAATGCAGGTGGCACATATAAGAGAGGTACGATCAATCAGGCGATTGTACGCGATCTTTCTTCCGATTTTCCTCAAAATTGGAAATAAGATTAATAATAGTAGCTTAGAAACACAAGGCATTCATGAGTGTCAATCTAGCTTAGAAACAAGACATTCTCATTAATAAGTAAATAAAGATTATATTAGTCACTCATATAGTTTCGAGAGATAGTAACCACCTTGAGGAAATTGCAGCATATAATATGCATAATCCAAGGTGACATGCATGTGTAATACATAATTTTTTTAAACAATACAAATATCTAAAATATTGTTTAATGATCTCAATATCTTAACTTTTGTTGAAAAGTGTCTTTAAGTGATTTAGGTTTGTTTCGGATTTGTCATTGTTCGATTTGAATCTCTTTTAATCCTATACGACTACACGCGTGAATTTGTGAGACCCGGTAAAAAGTCGCTAACACTCTTAGAAACTTCTTATTCAAATGTTTGTATTTTGTGATGCAGCAAGCATATTTGAATGCTCTATATTTTGCAGTAATCATATTTTATTTTTATTCTGACAAAAGTTTAATTTAAAAATATGTAATTTTACCAGAGTTACGTATAAAATTTGACCGAATCTGAGAGATCTAGCGCGAAAGTTCATCAATTTTTAAGAAGCAAAGTGTCTAATAATTTTACTAGATAATTGAATCTCTTAAGCGTCTATTCCTTTTGCTCAGGTACCAATGGCGAGGATACTCTAGGAGTGCAGCCCCTTCGTACAGAATGGCGGAACGATACAACAGAAACGAGAACTGTGTATCCGACAAAAGAAGCTGACGTCAAGACCACGACTGAAGCTAAGAAGAAGACCGTAATAGACTTTAAGGCCAAAGGCGATCAGAAATACCAAAAACCCGTCGTCAAGGATGATGACGCGAGGAGGGTTGCAGATTCCGACGCTCCGATGACGTCATCGATTTCACCCACGACGACCGCGATGAAGGTCGATCAATCATCAGCGACGGTGAAATCGATGGACGCTACGGGCGTGACGATTCCGTTTCTTCTTCACGGAGTACCGATCGTCGCTGTGACGAGGACGACGCCGCCGAGCAGCCTTGCTGCCCAGGGTACGACGAGCGGCGCAGTGGGGGCTCAAATGACGGAAGACACAACGTCATCGAGAGGCAGAGCCTTAAACGTCACCGCCTCGGAGCCAATGAACTCGTTGCACGCTAATATCACGGATCTCAGCGACATCAGCATGGACGAGGACGACAAAGAAGTCGAAGGTGAGTATTGTGGAGACATGAACATGACACGAGACATGGACACGACGGACATTAATTTTTTTGTTACGGTTGACGTTGGAAAGAATTACATTGGAG